TGGATTAAGAAAATGTGGAATTTTATTCAGCCACAAAGAAGAATAAAATGGATGGAACTGGAGAACATCATCTTAAGCAAAGTTAGCCAGGCTCATATGTGATTATAGACCTAAAACAAATACAGTAATATCACTGGACATGAGTCACACACTAAGGGAATGCACACTGGAGGAATAGGGAAAGGGACAGAAACTAAAACTTGAATGTGGCTGATGTGCTCACTGTAGGCAAATAAATATAGTAATCTTAAACTGGCAGAGGCCGCTATAGGAAGGTGACCAGAAAATAGTGAAAAGGTCAGGTCGAGATGAACCAGTGTGGGTTGTAATACACATGTGCATGGAAGCAAGGCTAGAAATCTCTCTGTATAGCTATCTTTATCTCAAACTAACAAAAATGCTATGTCTTTCTTTTTGTCTCTTATGTTTTCTCTTCAACAAAATTGGAGTACAAGAGGGCAGAACAGGTTCTGCCAGGAAGTGAGGGGTGGGGGTGGAGAGGAGGAGGGGCAGGGAGGTGAGCAGTGGGGGGGAAAGGTGACCCAAACAATGTATCCCATATGAATAACTATAAAAAACATTTAAAAATGGAAAAAAATTAATAGCTTTCTTATTTTTTACTGTGTTTGCTCCTTAATAAAGGATTTAGTTCTTAACTAATTTGGTTCTAAGCAGGAGGATCTCAGGGTCAATGCTAGTCTGGGCTACACATAGAAAGTTCAAGGTATGCCTGGGCTGCACAGCAAGAACCTGTCTCAAGAAAAAAGAAAAGATGGCCTTGAGTGGAATGTTTGGAGTAACTCACATCTCATATATGTGTCTCTCATATACCTCCTTGGACCTCTGGGTTGGCCTGGGTGTTTCTTTTTAAAGATGGTAGGGAAAGCATGAGCACATACAATGACCCTTATAATATTCCTTTGGTATGATGCCTGATAAGATTCCTTAGGCCCAAAGCAGATGGTATGGCTGAACTCACAGTCATAGAGAAAGAGCACTATAAAGGTAGATGGCAAAAGAGATAGAACATGAAGTGTTGGTGAGGTAGGACCATTGCTATAATCTACTATATAGCTTAATTTCATAGAGGCTTCATTAGAAAAATAAGCATATACTATACCTAAGTTGATGTCAATTCATTGTGTTATACTTCTCAATATTGTATTTCTCAATACAATTTATTGTCTAATTTCTGTGTTCTACTTTGTGGTTACTATTTTGTGCTTTTTAATATCCCAGGTGTATTAATCCTTGAGGCCACCTGAGTACACAGATTGTGCAGAGAATATTTGTCTTGCTCAGAATACTCATTCTTTTGAAGGAAAATCAAGGCAAAATAAAGGAAGTAAAAGAATATACAGCAGAATTATAAGAAGTTTGAATTGAGGAATAATATAATTTTAGATCCTAGTATCAACATAACATTTTATAAGTTTAGGAATATCCTTAAATATTGCAGGCCCCAATCTCTTTTTAATGTACTATGACAACCAACATGATCTTAGTTTGAGGGAGCATTGATAGAGCACATCTGATAATATATTTTGAATTCTAAGACTGGCATATGACTTAATGCATGATTAAAAGTATAAACACATTTCCTCTCAACTCACTGTCATGGTACAGACAGAAACGTATAGGTTAATTTTTCTACTGGGTGTGCCAACCACAGGCCTAAAAATAATTTAGCTCAATGTAAGAAGCTGTTCTACTTTTCTTCCTCTTTATAAACTATCACCAGGGTGCAATTATGAACAGTGCTTTCATTTTATGTATCTAACAATGCAAATGTGCTGTGATTTCTACTTGTATCTTTTATTACGTGATACCAATGTGCTTGTCTTTCTGACATTCACTAAGAAAGGTGTGTAGAGGCAGGCTCATGAAGGGCTAGTCTGGCTGTCTTTTCTGTTCAGGAATTGTGACTTGCCATCTGCTTTCATATGTTTTCTGTTGCCTGTTAGGAATCTGCATACCTGCAGCTGCAAGTTCCACAGAGCTTCTAATAGGAACTTTGCACTAAGAGTTCTCCGTTGTGGATGAAGTGTTCCCTGTCTGCCAAGGTCACCCTTTCTGCTCCAGGTGCTAATTTGTGCTGCTCTTGATTCACTTATATTATTGATAGTGGAGTCCTTGGTATGTGCTATATTGAAATATTACTAATGTATGAACTGTAACATTAAATTTCTAATCTAATCAATCAAGTGGCATATATATGCAGTAGATGCTTGTCTAGTAAAAAGATTAATTGCCATGTGCAATGAAAACTAACTCTATATGGTGAAATATTGCATGTCTCCCACAGAAAGATGGAAGCCTGAACACTGTGTTAAGCTAATGACTACTTCTGCCATTCAACCATATGGATTGCCTTTAAGACAAACCGGAATGAAGATTAAAGGCATGTAAAATCAACTCTATTAAAGCAGTTAGGGCTTTTCTCCAGATTCTACAGGAAAATTATGCAATCTGTTGCAAAACCAGGCACTTGTCTCCCAGATGGTGCCCAGAATCTATCTAAGCAAACACTTCTCTCTTGCTCTGTGTAACAAACCTGGCATATTTTTGATTTTTCTGTGCTTGATTATGCATCTGAAGACATTTACACGAGAAGGACCTTGTAGAGTTGTTGTGGATTTGCATTGTAAAATTCCACAGTGTTGTGATAATATGCACTTCTGAGAGCAAACCTGAAGTTATAAAGTAAAGGATGATGCCATTTTCTGAGATGTGTTATGTCCTTCATTTGTTGACTGGCATTTTCCTTTTCTTTCTTTTTGTAGCTAAGTATTCTTCATGATGCTGATCAAAAAATAAGGCCATGAGTTTGGCAGATTGCTGATAGTCCCTTGTTAATTAATGTGGACATGAGTTTTTTGGGGACCTACTGTGAAATAAATTATAACTAATAAGGTATATGCATTTAATTATTATTGAGGGAATTCTGTTCTGAAATATATTCCTACTTGAAAGGATGCCTGGAAGATTATTTTCTTTCTGTATGTATAATAAAAATGTTTGCTTCATATGTATGGAATAGTAATTGTTGCCATATGCTATTGGGTATAAAGGTAAGTACTCAGTATTCAACATATCTTTCCACCAGTTTTTCCTGGACCTCCTTACCTTCTTCATGAGCAGAACTCATTTCTGGCCCTCTTTGTCTGAACAGACTCCTTGCATCTTCAAGCTCATTTCAGATACCACAAAGACTCGGAATTGAGTCAGGTGGATGATATTTGCTCTTTAGGTACAGGGACATACCTATCTCATAGACTTATCACAGTGCCTGTTCACAAATATCTCATCTACAAGGAAGGCAAATACACTACATTTAAATCATTTATCTTTTACTTTATAGCCTTTCCCCAGTTAAAATTTGGCCCAAGAGAGGCACTCATAAATTTCTGTTTTTCTGTTTGCTTGATTGATTGACTATAGAACAATAACTAAGGAATAAGTAAATGATGAATTAACTGGTTTAGATAAGTCACAAGGGAAAAATTAATACATATACATATACACATATATGCTATGTAAAGCATATATAGTATATGAAATGCATGCAATAAGTAAGTATATTTCCTACATAAAGCACATATGGTATATATACTATACAAAGTATATATACTGCATAAGGTGTGATCTCTCATATATCTATATCTATATCTGTCTATCTATCTATCTATCTATATGTTTCTTTTGTGGGCACAAATAATCAGAAGTACATTTATATGTATCAGAAGTACATATACTCCAATATCTGCTATGAGGGAAATTTAAATAATCTAAGTCTATAAGGTATACTATGTAAAGTATAATATCTGTGTATATATATCTATCATTCCTTCTATATATACATTTTTTATTTCTGTTCTAATGTAAAATTTGTACCTCTAATCCTCATAAAAGAAAAATAAGCTAAATAAACTGAAAATCAATGGTTTTTCTTAGATGCATCAGAGAACTGAGGCCACAAAACAAATCATACCCCTCCTCCCCAAGCCCTGGAGACCCAGGCTGGCACAGAGAAATTTTGTCAGTTTAATTAGAGCCAGGAGCTGAGAAGAACACCTAAATATATTGTTAGAGGCTGACTGTGAACTAGTTTGAATGTTAAAATTCCCAAGAATGACAATGGAAGTCACCATGATTTCATAAGATTTGCCTGCAGGAGTCTCACCAAATTCTCATGGTAAAGACTGAAAAAAAAATCCTTTCAAGTTTGATCAGGGTAAGGATGGAACAATTCTGAAATATTCTAAGAACTTTTCCTAAAACAGAGGATTACCATCAAGAGAAGAGGTGTCACCAGTGTTTTAGGTACTTGTGTGAAGCACAATTACACTTGCTCCCTGTGGTCAGGGGTAAAGCTGAAAAATACTTCCACAAACATAGGACCAGGAAAAGACTGAGACTTATATATAGGATCATAGAATACATTCCTCTCTTCACAACTTAACACCACAATAGGAATCTTATATGATGAAATAGGGTTATAGCTTAAATCACTGCAAAGTTAGTAATCTATTTAAGAAAGAGTTTCTAGGGAAACTCACATGTAACAAGGAAGACAAAAACGAAAGCACAGAATTAAATTTCAGCTTCTGACATTTAAGCTACAGAAAATAGTAAGTACCACTAATTCCTAATGAGATAAGCATAAATTCTCACACTGAAGTCATACTTATCTTGATTGTTTCAACCCACACATCATCTTTAGCTACCAACTACAACAACAAATTATAAGGTATGCTAAAAGGCAAGAAAACACCATGAAGAAAAGCAGAAGTGAGCTTGGAGGCCGCTGCTGCAGTCAGGTACTATGCTTGTCCGCCCGGGTCCCCATTTCTCTCTTAGCACAGGGAGGGCTGGGGCTGCAGGGAATTATGGGAAAGAAGTGGAAGGTCTAAGGACCACCAGCCAGGTAGTGGCCAGTACCACCTCTCCAGCCTATGGCCAACTCACTTTCTACTGAATCTCAGAGAATCAAGGAATTGCACCATCATCAATGGGCCTGGTTGGTTTTGGTCATGAGGCCCTTTTGACATTTGAAAGCATTTTGGGATACAAGCGGAGAGCTGGTGTTCCATCTTTGATTGCTGGTCTCTTTTTTGGATTTTTGGCTGGCTATGAAGCTTACCGTGTATCCAATAACAAACGAGATGTTAAACTGTCGTTGTTTACAGCCTTCTTCCTGGCCACCATAATGGGTGTGAGATTTAAGAGGTCCCAGAAAATAATGCCTGCTGGGCTGGTTGTAGGTTTAAGCTTCATGACTGCCCTGAGACTTGTTTTACTGCTGCTGTGATCATCCAGAAAACTGAAAACTAAATTTGTCATTTTACTGTAATTGGCAGGGCATATTCTTTGTACTTAAAAGATAAACTTTAAATATTGAGTGTTAAATGTCTCATTTTATGTTACAAACAAACGTAACACTGTCACCTCTAATATGAACACAGTTTGAGTTTTTTTTTTTTTTTAAAGCAAAAACTTTTAATTGTTTCTAATTGTCAAAGCCTTCTTTCCATTAAAAATGTTTAGTGAATCATGATACGCTCTTTCATTTGCTGGGACTATTCTTATGTGTGTGGCATTTTGGAGGGACGGTTCCAAATACTCATGACTCAAGCAAGTTTAAACTAAACTATAACTTACCAGATAAGGTAATTTTAAGTGGACTTCAGCTATTAGTCACCTGGGTTTTTATTAGAAATTTTATTTGTATTGTTGTCAGTGTTATTTTTTTTCAAAAGAATTTCGTTCTAAGAGCCTTCTGTGTCCTAACAGAATGTATTCAATATACAAATAAAAGATTTTTGTTTAAAAAAAAAGAAAGAAAAACAGAAGTGATGAACCAATTGGGGTTATAATACATGGAACTATCACAAGGAAATGCCCTTTGTAGCTACTTTTATCTCAAACAAGCAAAAATGTCTTATTTTTTCTTTTTTCTTCTATAAAATTGGAGAACAGGAGGGTGGAACAGATCCTGCCCAGGGGGTGAGGGAGGGGTTTGCCACCAGTGAGGGGGGTGTGGCAGGGAAAGAGGGTAGGAGTGTGATTATGATACAAAAATGTGTACAAATGTATCCAAATGCAAAAATGATACCTCTTGAAACCATTCCAGATATCAGGGGAAGGTGGGATAAAGGGGAATGGTAGAAGGGTGAATTCAAGTATAATATATTTGATACATTGTAAGCACTTTTGCAAGTACCACAATGCACCCCCACCCAACACAACAATAAAAAAATCTGAAGATATAAATTAAACATTAGAATTTTTGAGTCATCAGACTAGGGATTTAAAATAATTGTGATTAATAAGCTAAGAAAGGTAATGAAGGCAACAGAAAGTATGCAGGAAAAGACGATAATGTTAGAAAAAGACTGAAATATTAAGAAAACAGAAAAGGAAATGCTAAACACAATAATTCTCAAACTAAAACACAAAATGAAAAGAAAAAAGAAAGAGGGAACATTCAAGAATGACAGAATATGGGGCAATTTAGAAACAGTGAAGGCATGCATAATTGGAATGCCAAAATGTAAGGAATGAATATAAAGAAATGATTGAAGTAATATTGGTGGAAACATTTCCAAAAATAATGATAGAAACCAAGCCACAAATCTAAGAAGTTCACAGAACCCCAATCAGTATTAACAAAAAGTCTACACCTAGATATATCATATTAAGAAGTCAGAAACTTGGAGGCAACATGAAAATATTTAAATTACATAGCAACAATGACAAGAATTACGTCTGACTTTTCATCCAAATATGGGACACTGTGGCTCACTGTTGTAATTCTAGATACTGGGAGGCAGAACTAGAAGGATCATGGTTCAAGTCCAGATTAAGAAAAAAGCTAAGGAGAACCTGTCCTGAAGAACAAGCGAGGTATGATGATGCATACTATAATCCCAGCTATGCAGATGTAGGAGATGTAGGCCCTGGGCACGAGACCTTATCTGAAAAATCACTAAAAGCACAAAAAGTTGGAGTTATAGCTCAAGTGGTAGAGCTCTTGCCTGGTTAGTGCAAGCCCTGAATTCAAAACCCTAGAACCTCTGAAAGCAAGCCAAATGAACAAACCAAACAGCAACGACAACAAACTTACAAGTGAGAGGAGTGTGGAATAAAAGTATTTAAAACATTTCAAAAACTCTCAAATTTTTGAATCCAGTGAAATTATTCTTCAAAAGTGAAGGAGAAATAAAGCCTTTCCCAGAAAAACAAGAAATCTGTCACCAGTAGAACTTCCTTGCTAGAAATAATAAAAGAAAGTCTTCAGAGAGAGGGAATTTCTTACAAATAAGAAACTCATTTCTAAATTAAAAAGGGAAAATGTGGTAGAAGGAATAAAGGTAAAAGCTTTATGTTTCTTATTCCCACCTGATCTGGCAGAAACCAACTTGCTCCAAGTAGTAATAGTATCAATGTGTTGGACAATATTAGCAAAGTGATTCGGTAACAGAATGGCAGAAATATAATAAGGGGTGAAAAGTAATACTGGGGGATACTGTGTATCAGCTTTGAAGGGGTATAGTGTTATTTGAAAGTGGCTTGCCTTTGTTGTAAGTGTACCTTGCAAACACTGTGGCAAATGCTGCATTTTGAAAAGAAGTATAATTCATAAGCTAAGAGAAGAAAAATGTAGTTTTGTAAAATGCTTGCTTAAAAGCAATGATAGCCAAAAAGGAGAAATATTAAAGAAAATAAGAAAAGATCCAGGAAAAAGATCAACAAAGAAACTTCAGAGCTACTTTACACACTAGACCAAATGGACGTATTAGACATTTTCAGAGTATTTCACCCAACAACCAGGCAATACACATTCTTTTCTGCAGTTTATGGGACTTTCTCCAAAGAAAATAAGCAAACAGTTCTACTTTTTGCTTAAATTTGCATAGTCATATATGTTGATTAAAAGATAGTTACTGTTAGTTAATATAAAACAACAACCAATTATGTATTATTTGCAAGGTCCATTTAAATATCAAGAGTCAGTTTGTATTGGCTTTCTGTCTTTTACAACATATCTAAGATAATTAACTTAAAAAGAGAGAAGGTTGAGTTGATTTATAGTTTTGGATATTTTAGTTTAAGATTAGGTGGACCCATTGCTCTGGGTATCTGGTGAGTGTGCCAGAGAGCAATGGTTAACTTCATGAGCCAGAAAACAAAAAGGAATGAGGAAAGGGCTGGAGGGGGTGTCTCACAATTTTCTTTGGTGGCATACCTAAGGGACTCCCACTAAGCCCTACATTGTAAAGATTCCACCACTTCCCCAAAGTACCACTTAGAGACCAAGTACTTAACACATGAGCCTTTGGAGGAATTCTACAACCAAATTATAGCACAGATTAAAAGGAAAGGGATGAATTCTCATTCATTTATGATTATAATATAAAATGGTATAGCCAATCTTACTATAGCAGCTTCTTAGAAACTGAACATACATATGATGTAATTATACTACAGTGCTCTTTGGTGATTACCTGTATCCAGATGAAATTTCTGCATTTGAATATTTCTAACAGCTTTGTTTATAATAGTCAAAACTGGAAGTAACCAAGATGCCCTTCAAAAGGTGTATGGATAAACATACTGTGGCACATTCATAGAATGTATTCTCAGTATTGAGAAGAAATGATCTACAAATCCAAAGATAGACATAGTAGAAGCTTAAGTATATATTGCTGAGTTAAAAGCCCATTGAAAATGACTACTTAATGGTATCATTCCAAATCTTTGACATTTTGGAAAAGCAAAGACATAGAGACAGTAACATGATCAGTGATTGCCAAGGATTTGAGGGGAGGTGGGGAGAAATTGTTATGGTAGATGGATGTAATGATGCATTTTTCAAAATCCCTAGAAATGTACAACATAAAAAATGGATTATAAAAAGAATAAAGTACAGCTATTGGCCCACTAGTTAAAATGAGTCTTATACACTAAAGCAAGATGTCAATCTGAGAGAAAATTAGGTGACAGTGAATGGTAGAGATGGGGTGAGTATGTAGAACTGTTTGTATTACCTGCTCAATTATATTGTAAATCTAACTTGTGTTAAAAATAGTTTATTAATTATTAAAATAGTACATATAAGATGTTGAGATTATGGTTGTATAGCAGCTCCAAATAATGAAAGGTTTTTAGTCACAATTTTGTTCATTCACAGCTCTTTATCCTCCCTCAAACAAATGGATTCTTTACAAAATTGCCACATCAGCAATTAAAATGAGAACCTCATGTTTTTACCCCACTTTTCATAGGGGATTGCACTGAAAAAAGGAATATATTAATGCTTAAAAATTATGGTAATGTGTTTTTCTTTTTTGCTAGCATATAATTGTTGTACAGGGGACATTATGACATTTACATACATGCTCACAACATATATTAATGCAATTCATACCCTCTCTCTTTTTCTTTTATTACCCTCCTCTTTTTTAGAACAATTTCAGAAGTTTCCTTGTTCTATCTTCCTACAGGAGTAGAAGATGTTTCCACAATATTTGCTTTTCTTTACCCTTTTCTTATGCTCTCCCCCTCCCACTGGAAGATCTGTTTTACCTTCTTGTCCATTTTTTTAAAAAGACATTTTTGTTTATAATAGTTATACAGGGGGTTTCACTGTGACACTTCCATATATACCTGTATAATACCAGGAATTGTTTTCTAAAGACACTGAAAGACAATCTTTGCCTTCAATATGGGTTTTAACATCATTGAACTAATAGTTTTCCATATTGGCTTTATTCATTTAATATATATTTAGCATTTAGAAATAATACTCTTTAGTGACTTGAGTAATGCAATGACATGCAACTACAGTTTTTGGTCAAGATGAATAACATATATAATAAACAGGTAGGTGTGATGTATTTTATTCCATGTGTCATATATGAGTTAATTATTTCACCATGCTAATCTCATAAGTAATTTGAAATACTTTTTCTTAATTGAGACCACATTTATTACATTATGGGGGAAGAAGACAGAATTTCTGTGTTTTCTAAAAAGTAAAATGAGAGACATCAGTGTAAACTATTTGGCTTGGACAAGGCAACTGGCCAAGAAAAGTTACATTTCAGACTCCTCTGGATGATTCTGTCATTATCTCATGCCTCTAGGGGAATAGACATGGGACAAGGTTGAGAAGAATTGGTATTAACCAAGGGCCTTATATGTATTATCATAGTAAATGTGTCCATACCTTGCAAGGAAAAAATGATGTAAATGTGAATGCCTATAAGAATTGGAAGGGGAATTGAAGACAAAGGCTCTTAAAGTGTC